AAATAAAATAAAATAAAATAAAATAAAATAAAATAAAATAAAATAAAATAAAATAAAATTTAAAAAGTTGTTCCGAGGGGTGAGGAACGGAGGGAACAAAAAAAAAAAAGAAATTCCCAAAATCTTCTGCGAGAAGAAAATTTCCTAAAATTTCCCCAAAATTTCCTGAAATTTCCTAAATTTTCCCCAAAATTTCCTCAAATTTCCTAAAAATTTCCTAAAATTTCCTAAAAATTTCCCAAAATTTCCTAAAATTTCTTAAAATTTCCTCAAAATTTCCCTGGAAAATATTAAAATGATTTCTCCCAATATTTTTATTTTCACATTTCCACGGGAAATATTTGAAATTATTTCAACGATTCATCCCAATATTTTTATTTTCACATTTCAACCAACGAAAAATCCGTTTAAAATTCAATTTTTTCCAATTTTAATCCAATTTTTGAGCACAGGGTGGAGATGGAGTTTGGGGATGGACCCTACATGAAAATAAATTTATTTTTTTTTAATTTCTCTTTATTTTCACTTGTCACAAGGCAGTAAAACCAACTAAAAATCCGTTTAAAATTCAATTTTTTCCAATTTTAATCCAATTTTTGAGCACAGAGTGGAGATGGGAATTTTGGGGATGGACCCTACATGAAAATAAATTTATTTTTTTTAAAATTTCTCTTTATTCCCATTGGTCACAAGGCATCAACCCCACTAAAAATCCATTTAAAATTCAATTTTTTCCAATTTTAATCCAATTTTTGAGCACAGAATGGAGATGGGAATTTTGGGGATGGACCCTACATGAAAATAAATTTATTTTTTTAAAATTTCTCTTTATTCCCATTTGTTACAAAACAGGAAAACCAACTAAAAATCCATTTAAAATTCAATTTTTTCCAATTTTAATTCTCTTTTTGAGCACAGAGTGGAGATGGGAATTTTGGGGATGGACCCTACATGAAAATAAATTTATTTTTTTAAAATTTCTCTTTATTCCCATTGGTCACAAGGCACCAACCCCACTAAAATCCATTTAAAATTCAGTTTTTTCCAATTTTAATCCAATTTTTGATCAGGAGTTGGAACTGATCCCCCAGAATGGGGATGGAGTTTGGGGATGGATCACTACATGAAAATAAATTTATTTTTTTTTAATTTCTCTTTATTCCCATTGGTCAGAAGGCACCAAACCCCACTAAAATCCGTTTAAAATTCGATTTTTTCCAATTTTAATCCAATTTTTGAGCACAGGGTGGAGATGGGAATTTTGGGGATGGACCCTACATTGAAATAAATTTATTTTTTTTTAAATTTCTCTTTATTCCCATTGGTCAGAGGCACCAAACCCCCCCAAAATCCGTTGAAAATGGAATTTGCAGGCTGCACTCACTGCCATGTAGGCGTTGGTGCCCACGTAGGTCTTGGCTATGGAGTTCACCAGCTGTGGGAGAAAA